CCTGGTGCATAACGCTTCCCGTTGTGCCTGGGCAGGAGGCTGAACCCACCCTGCTCAGGCTTCCTGAAATGAGGTTTCAGAGCAAAAATTAAAATAAAATAAAGTAAAATTAAATTAAATTAAAGTAAAATAAAATAAAATAACAAACACCACCCCCACCCCAAGTTCACAGGCCAAAAAGTTTTTCATGTGAGAGGGTACAAAGGAAATGTTTGCAATCGCTTTAAGCCACGGCATCCCTGCCCTGTCCATGTGAAATATTCAAGGTTTTACTTGTTTTCTTACAATGTTTTTATCGGAGAAACACGTACCAGTCACAACACACATAGTTCCCTGTGCCACTGAGCGCGAAGGAGTGGCACACCCACAGGTAGGCAGATAAACCGATGATTTTTCCGAAGGTTTTTTTGCATGTGGAATTGAAGGAGCACCTGGTTTTTAGTTTGAAATAGGGGTATTAATTTCAGAAATCCGTGCTTTTGTGAGACCTGCTGGTGAGCTGCTCCTCACTGCCAGCACCACGTAAGAGAAGCAGTTGTGCGTTGCTTTGTTTGAAAACAGTGGCCACATGTGACCTGCGAGCACTTGGCTGCTCGTCCTCAGTGAACTCTCCTTGCCTGTGATTGCCCTACCCGTAGAAAAAATAATTTGTGTGACCAGATCTTTGTCGCTATAAAACCAACCTGGTGAGAAGAGAGATGCCACAAGTGGTCCTACGCTGTGTGACTTCTCTTGGAGTGGAAGCACTTAGCTCTGAGTAGGCTGAGGCAGGAGCAAACAATAAACTATTTTCTCGTACGCTCAGGTTGGTTTATTTTTTTGTATCTCTTGCAACGGCGTAGAACGAACCCGAGCCGGCTGTTCGCAAGAGCTACCAGGCCGTGGAGAGAGATGGGGAGATCATCCGGGTACGAGACACCGTCCTCTTGAAATCCGGACCCCGGAAGAAATCCATGCCGTACGTCGCGAAGATCTCGGCGCTGTGGGAAGACCCCAAAACAGGTACGGCGCCAGAAGGGTGCATGTCGCCTCGTGCCCCACGCGAAGGGGTGAGCTGGAGGCGGGGAAGCGATGGATCTCGGGATAGCTGTGGGCCTGCAGGGGGGCTCGCTGCCCCCGGGCTGGGTGGTGACAAGGAAGACACGAGCTCCATGACAAGCTCCACGGCTTCCGTTCAGGCTGTTCCAGGAACCAAGATGCTCTCTAAGCACCAGCCTGGCACTGGCAACCCAAATCTTCCCGCTTGTGAAAGCACAAATAGCTGCCAAGTGCCCGTCTTAGCAGCGACCTCCTTTATTCTTTCACTGCAGCAGACGTCCCGCGGGCTGCTGCTGGCTCAGACCCTCTCTCCAGCGTCTGGGCTGATGGGCAGAAGCTCCTGGTGGGGCCCAAGCAGAGGTGGTGACAGGGCTGGCGAGGTTTGGGTGTTAAGGTCCCGTATCTGACCAGCGAGAGCCGAGCCAAGGAAGATTTTGTGGCGAGGTGCGGGTCCTGCTTAAAAGTAGAAACAAAAGGGTTCATGTGTCAAAGAATGAATCGGTCTTGAGGCCTGTCTTGGTCACGTCCTCCTGTGACAGCACGTCCGGCGTTACCATTAACCGGGGAGATAATGCTGCCAGTGCTGAGCTTTTGGGTGAGCATCTTTTCCAGCTTGTGGTCTGAAGGGATGCTTTTTTCAGCTGGAAAAAGGTGGATTTTTGTACCTTCTGACCTCTTTGTGCCGGTGTAACACAAGTAGAAGGGGGTGAAGGTGTAACGGAATAGCGACGTGGCCGACTTCATACGGCTCCTCGCTGCAACAAAAGGACACCTCGTGCAGCGTGAAATATTTATCAGGGCGCAGCTGCCTCTGCGTGAGCACCAGGGGAATGAAAGGGATGGAGCAGGAGGAGGAGGCCAGGTCGTTGTGGGAAAACACTATGGGGAAACTGAGGCTTGAGGGATTTCGATCAATCTTCTTGCAGGGGAGCTGATGATGAGCCTCCTGTGGTATTACCGGCCGGAGCACACTCAGGGAGGACGCAACCCCAGCATGCACCAGGTCAGTGGGGCGAGGGCTGCAGCTGCTGCCAGGTGTGGTGAGAGGTGGTGGTGTCCTGGGCCTTTTCGCCCCATTTCTTGTCCTGGGTGGAAACTCGGGGCCATAGCACAAGCTGCTGCGTTCGTTACGTGGCCGCCTCCATTTTCGCGTTTCTTCCTTTAATCTGAGAAAATCCCGTGTGTTAAGGGTCTCTGCTGCCTCCAGAGTAAGGAAGAGTGAGATCTTTCCAAAAAAGATGTTCTAATTTGCCCAGAAATCAGGAACACAGAATGGTTTGGGTTGGAAGGGACCTTAAAGATCACCTTGTTCCAGCCCCGCTGCAGAGCTCGGTGCAAAAGCTTCTGCAGTAAATCTGCAGGACCCTGGAGTTCCTGCGTCATCGGAAATCCCTTCAGCCACTGCTTAAACTCAGAAACTTGCTTGTTTTCTGCAGAAACGTGGAGGCATCGTCCTTCCCCCGTTACAGATTTGTGAGGAGAAGTAACGACTGCCTGGAGGATGTTGTGCCAGGATAATAGAGTTGGCTTTTTGAAAGGGGAAACGTGTGAATCATTATGACTTCACGCCTTGCTCTGCTTTGCATGGGCTTGTGTTGGGTGACAGAACAAGCTGTTTTTAAACTGGGAATAGAGAATTTACTGCTGTTTTCAATCCACCAAAATGTTTTTCCTTTTTTTTTTGGACTTTTTTTTTAAATAAAAGGGGAAGGAGGGTATGAGAGCAGGGCTGGGGAATTGTACCTGCCTGACTTACAGAGGAGTTTCTAAACGGAAGCGTGGTACCTCCTGGTGTGCTGGTCCAGAAACAAAGCGTGACTGGACCCAGTTGCGTTTTACCATAGTCCGTCCAGGAGGAATTAAAACCAGTTTTTTTGCACACCTGCCTGATTACACAAGACCTCAAATGGGAGCGTGGCGTTTGGGCTGCGTGGCTGGGACGGGCTCCCTGAAGACGACTCAGCTTGTTTTTTGAGTTAAGGAGCAGACCCAAACTCCAGGGTGTGGCAGTTTCGGTTTCTCTGCTGAAGTGTGTCCCCAAGAGAGTGACCCTTTTTTTTTCAGTCTTCCCTTCCAGCCTCCTTCCTCGGGGCTGTGCACAGAAGCAAAGCCTGCAGGGAACACTTCCAGACTTGTGCAGAGCATCCTTTTTCCCAGAGATGATCTTTGCTGATGTAACCACATCTGAAATTCTTTCAAACGGCTCCACTGCGTATCTAAGCGGCCCTGCCTGCTGCAGAGCCAGGTTTCCCAAACTGCCTTGGGAAGAAAAAAAAGACTTATTGCTACTTCCCTCACTAGAGCAGCCTTTTTAATTGAATCGGGGTGAGGAAAGGGTTGGAAAAGAAGGGATTCCCTTAACTTTGGTAGAGAGATAGATTTTGAAAGACTGGTCGTGGTGGTAAAGACAGCGAAGTGCTGTTCAACCTCCCTTTCAATTCTGAGCCATACAAATGACCTGGAGGGGTTTTCAGCTCAGGAAAGGGAAAATGAACGAAAAACAGCCCTGGTTGCTCAGAGGGACGGGTGGGTGGGGAGCGCTCTGACCTCCCGCCTGCAGGAGCAGGGCTCTCCGGGCGTCCTGGGTGTGGGCTGAAGACTCCTTCCACAAACGCAGAGTTTTGGATAAGCTGGAGCAAACGCACCTCTTGGAGGGTCTGTTCTCTTTTTGAGCCTCTGCAGCACCTCCTCAGTGCACTTGGCCATCCTCTTTTCCCAGGCACCACAACGGTGCTTGCAAAATGCTGCTTTTATTTTTATTTTATTTTTTTCCAGTGCAGTGTTGCCAAAGGTTATCTCCAGGGACCCTTCTCGGCGGTGGCCGCGAGCCACCTGTCCTGCCCGGGAGGCGAGGGGAGGCCGGGAGGTGCAGCTGGCCCCAGCCGTGCTGCCCAAGTGCTTTGGTGACCTTGGCAGCCCAGCTGGGATTTGGACACGGCCTCGCAGCGTGCTGGGCAGCCTTAAATCGTGGGAGAGCTCTTTAACACTTCCCTCGCGTATTGCTGGATAAAATCCTGGTGCATGCTAGTAGCAGGTCCCAAGACACCTGGAAGGCGTCCGGATTGTGTGAATTGTTGCCTCCAGATACGGGTGGGCTGTGAGGGACTCCCCTGTAAGGTGACGGGTGAAGGTGCGGAGCTGGCGCTGGCTCTGCGGGTGACCTCTGCCTCCCTTCTCTTGCAGAATGAGATCTTTGCATCCCGGCATCAGGATGAAAACAGCGTTGCCTGCATCGAGGAGAAGTGCTACGTGCTGACCTTTGCAGAGTACTGCAGGTAGGTGGTGCTCTGCACCTGCTGCTTTCCCCAGCCCTTGGTCTGTCTCCAGCTTGTGTCACGCTTCCCACTTCCAGAACTGCCTCCACCAGAACTGTCCCAGCCCTGCAGCCTCCAACGCAGGCTTTTACCGGTGTCCAGCTTTGGGCCCCTCAGTCCAAGAGATCTTGAGGGGTTGGAGTGAGTGCAGAGGAGGGCAACGGAGCTGGAGAAGGGTCTGGAGAATAAATCTGACAAAGAACGATTGGAGGAGCCGGGGCTGTTGAGTTTGAAGCAGAGGAGGCTGAGGAGAGACCTCCTCACTCTCTGCAACTGCCTGACAGGACGGTGTGGAGAGGTTGGGGCTGGGCTCTTCTCACGGATGATTGGCGTTAGAACAAGAGGAAAT